TCAAACTATCTGGTGAGTGGGACCAATACAAGAGGGCCTTAACCGACTATAATAAATCTGTCCGCAAAGCCAAAACTGAGTCATGGAAAAGGTTCTGCGAGAGCATATCAGATGCACCGAGCAGTGCTAGAATCAACAAGATTCTCTCCAAGGATTGCAGACAGGAGCTGGGGTCGATCAAGCGACAAGATGCCACGTTCACACAGTCCAGGGGAGAAACCTTGGAGATCCTTGTGCAAAACCACTTTCCAGGAAGTATAACATCTGATGACTTAGCTGACCAACTCCCGCAGCGATAAAATCATTTAAGTCCTTCAAATCGCCTGGAGAGGATGGCATGTCTCCAGCTCTAGTACAAGTTGGACTGGATATATTGATGTCATTCCTCATATCACTCTACAGAGCCAGCCTAGCGTGGAGTCACATACCGCATGACTGAAAGGTGGCAAGGGTAGTCTATATACCCAAACCTGGACGGACAGCTCCAGTGGCGAAGTCACTCAGACCAATTAGTCTGACCTGAATTCTGCTGAAAGGTCTTGAAAAGATCATTGATGAGTACATAAGAGGGCGACCCTGAAGAGGCATCCTCTGAGTGTGCATCAATATCAGGCTGGTAAGTTAACAGACCCTGCTCTCAACAACTTGGTTGCGAGCATCAAAGAGTCCTTGGAAAATAAGGAAATTTCCATAGCGGCCTTTTGGACATAGAATGAGCATTTAAAAAAGCCTTACCAGAATCCCTCTATAAATCAATCGCCTCCAGGGGTTTTAGTCCTCTGATCTACGGCTGGATCAGAAGCATGTTGACATGCAGAATCATAACGACATCTTTACAGGGGGAGACACTCAGATTTAGAGCTGCCAGAGAGTGTCCACAGGGGTGTAATCTCCCCTTTTGTGGTCGCTCTTGGTTGATAATCTTATTGCCATTATTTTCCTGTGGGAGGACGAGGTTTAAGCATATACAGAGTATCTAATCGTCCTAGTCAGAGCGAATAGCGGATTGGTGCGAAGGGGAAGGAATGTCAATCAACCCGGAAAAAATGGACATCGTACCTTTCACCAGAAGCAGTAAACTGGATAGGACCGTCCAACAATCCAAGGTAAAAATGTACCGTTTGCAAAAGAGGCGAATTATCTAGGAATAATCTTAAATAAAACACTGAACTGCAATTCGCAACTGGAAGCAGTCCTTAAGAAGGCAAGGATCTCGCTATGGAACTGCCGAACGGTCTGTGGAAAGAACTGGGGAATGAAGCCTAAACAAATGTTTTGGCTTTATACCATGGTTATTAGATTTATGATAACCTATGGATCTGTAGCTTGGTGAAATGTCCAAGCCAAACTGAGCGCAATACAGAGAGAAGCTTGTATGTTGATCACTGGTGCCTTTCGTACCACACCAACTGCAGCTATGGAGGTCCGTTTTAATTTACCCCCCTTGCACATATACCTGGAAGGCGAGGCAAGAAGCATATCTTATAGACTACATCATGTGGCAAATGGTATAAGAGACAATATCACTATGGAGGAGACGGACATGCTGGTGGATTTAAAAAAACCACCACAGTCTGGGAATGCCTTCTGATATAATTCCAAAGATAACAAGATATGCTAAACCCAACTCAGTGACAATTCCACACAGGAATGAGTGGGAACAGCAAGTTAACCTGATGAGGAAAGATATATGTGCATACACAGATGGCTCCAAGACCGAGGGAGGTGTTGGAGCTGGTATCTTCGTGCAGAAGCTGAAGGTTAAAAAATCTGTTAGCCTAGGAACCTGGACATCGATCTTCCAGGCAGAGCTATATGCTATAAAACTGGGTGGCAGAATGATCGCAGAACGACAACTGAGACACATAACTATAATTATTTTTTCAGATAGTCAAGCCTCACTTAAAGCACTTGACTTCACCTAGCCGACATCGCAATTAGTGTGGAATTGCAAAGAAGCTCTCGGTGGCATAGGGGAGGGAGATATAGTCCATCTCATATGGATACCAGGACACACAGGTCTAGAGGGAAGCGAGACAGCTGACACTCCGCCAAAGAGTGGGGCTAGCACACCCTTCATAGGGCCTGATCCATCAATTGGGATCGCATACAATACGGCTAAACAAATAATCTCTGCAGAGATTGAAATAAAGATCCATCAATACTGGGAGGGATTAGCAGGGTCAACCCATACCAATCTTGACAAAGAAGGTAACAGACTCTTTGCTTCGGCTGAAGAGGAATAGCCTCAAAGATAGTAGGACTGTATACTGGTCATTGTGAATTTCGTCATCACATGAGCAGGCTGGGCATGGCGGAAGACGCTGAGTGCAGACTGTGCATGGAGGGAGATGAAATGGTCCGGCATGTATTGTGCAGATGTCCTGCAATTGCCAGAATTGGGTACAATATACTTGGAGACGTAGTACTCCAAGCAGAAGACCTGAAGGATATTTCTCCAAATGAGTTAATCGGCTTCCTCGGGAGGTCGAAGCTAATGGGGAAAATATAAATAGATGTGAGCCACAATAGACCAAAGAGTCGCAGTGGAGGATCGTTATTGATGCACTCACAAGAAACCTAACCTAACCTAAGCTAACACTAGTCGCAAGGAGCATGTGTTGAGGCCTGGCAATAGTGTAAATCGGGAAGTGTAAGTAATGTATAAGACTTTGTACCCTGCTTTGAACGACATCTGATTAAGACGCCGAAGACTAACGGTATTTGATAGTTTCATGGGATAACGTTACCTACAGGATATGATTTGTAATCAGTGATGGGCGATTAATTGTCTACGTCTCGATGTATACAACGCGTATACAATATCAATCAATCAATATCAATGCATACATTGCATAACAATGAATACAATGTATACTATGATGAAGACAATGTATAGAGTAGCATAAGTGAGATTAGGTTTATTCGTAAACGTTAGAAAGTTGCTGAACAGTGAACCGGCAACTTAAAAAAAAATATGGTTGGACGCCACAAGAACAAAGAAATCGATGAACTAGGGTTCATTATGTTTAAAAATGGAAAGACATATGCCGTAGAGTGTAGTGTCTGTAAAAAGGTTGTCCAGTTCCGCTGAGTGAAATCGGTCCTTTAGCTGACTTCACTCAGCGTGGATTTTCTTTCCAGAAAGTATTTTGTTTTATTTTACTTAAGAAATGTTCCTAATTTATTTAAAACTGTATCTTTGTATATGTATATGAATGAATATTATATATTTGTATCCTTCCTCATTATTTATAAGCTGCTATCACAATCAAACCAATAATGCAATCTTGCAAAATTTGTAGCGAACCTGAATTTTCAGTTCGACCTAAAATCGGAGAATCATTAGGATCGATCCGAAATTGATCCTAAACAATAGATCCGACAGAAACGTGTATTTGGTCGTAGAACACAGCAAGTTACAGCCATGTTCTGTGGCCTTCATCACTGTTGTGCCAGGCAACGTGGTGTGTGGCGCCCTCTTCCTACACAAGTGGTGCCCCCTTCTACCCCTCTCTCTCTCTCTTCCTCGTACGCATGGAAATCTAAAGGGGAAAGGGACTTTCGTAAGCACTGTATACAAGTAGTTGAACTATGATTTGCTATTGTATACATTGTATACGTGAATATCGAGACGTCTGTCCACAATCTCGACACCCTAGGAACAAAGGTTGTACCTCGTTGTACGGAATCGGGCAGATACGAGATGGGAGACAGGATCCTGGCGGGTACGTCTGGCAGGCTCAAGTCTTCATGGAAGAGAGCTTTGGGTAGCAAGTCCTATTGGCAAAGCAGTAGGAAAGAGTAAAATCGTCGTTGGTTCGAAAGGGACCCGAGACTGTCCGTTAGAGAAATGTCATTGATCAGTTGAGCATACATCTTTAGTAACTGAAAAAGCACGCTATCATTTCTCGTTATCAAATGAACAGTAGCAAGATCCAAGGTTAATTGTTTATTTATAAAGCGAATCTTCGAGGCAAGTGTTTGTGCTCTGGTTGCCATCACTTGCAAACCATCATGCTTAGAGAACTTTTTTCTAGGATGGCATTATACCATTTGTGTAATCCTTGTCTCCTCGAAAACTTTTCTCTTGATACGCCAGTGGGAATAATTATCTAGAATTACTTATTATCCGAGTCACAATGGCCTTTAGCATCCCCAAAATTGTGACTGGAAATGACACGCTATCAACATCCCTTACATTCAGGATAATTAATATTTCCAACTGGAAATCTTAATTCTGGATTTCGAAAGGCTAATTACAGGTTGAAAGGAGAAGAAGTGTCAATCCAAAGTGCAATTTATTTTGAACTCTCATTTCAAGTTAAGTCAGGAAAACATCTTGTTCTTAATTCGATAAATTAAGACCAGGTATAAGATTACTTTTCTAGGCTAAAATTTGAACAACGACTGTTCAGTTCGTATTATGAAACAAATTATTAACTCATAATTTCAGGACCTACTTAGAAACTTCTGTATTCTTTCACATACACATGTAATGTACGACACATTGTATATTCACATGTGCAAATATACAATATCACGTCCGAGAAGGTTGACGATTGAAGACAAGAGATGAAACGTCAAATTGAATTTACAATCATGACGTCTTGCACAGGAGAATAATAAAAGCGATTTTAAAAAAATTCACTTTTTTCGTCTTGGTAAGTGCTCTGGTATTACACGTATTACTGCCGTGCCACAGCATAGTGTTTCCTCTGCTGTGGCACGTCGAACTAGGTTAGGTATCGGATAGATGTGACGTTACCAGATGGACTACCGGTACCCGTAGGGCAGGGAAAGGATGCCTACGAACTTGTGACTGACTTTTTCTCAGAGAGTCAAGATTGTACTAAATATAATCCCTATGAACGGATAACGGCGTTGCGTGGGAAGTGCAGAGTCAACCTACTCGACGTCATCTTTTCACTTTACGTAATAACCCTGTCAATATTACGAGGCATTGTGGAAGCTCTCGGAAGGTAAGTCCTTTGCAATACTCCTTTATCGTCCCCCGCTGTCGGTCAGCCCTTAGTGGCACAAAGAAGCCAGAGAAGTTATAATACATAGTAAGCCCATCCGTTGGAGTGCAAACGTCGGTTTTATGTCACATTTCTCATTGCTGTCAAAAATTGTAAAAGTATTAGAACGTTCAAATTACAGCTGGCTAGTGCAGAAACTGCGACGATGAGGATCCCACATATAATTAATTCTAACACATTAAAGGTCTACACACCCTCTACAGAATGCTTGCAACTGGTAGGAGAGACGGCGAGACAAATCAAAGCTGAAGATTTCACCTGGAATGACGCTTTAGTACCACTGCTCACCGATCTTGCTACTCAGGCCATAAATAGGAACTTTGAAAACAAACCCACTCTAGATCAGCTACCGTGCGAGGATCGAAATTATTTATTGCAGATCCTGTTTCTTGATTTATCTCTAGAACTGATCATTCCTTTGATCGATGATGAGTTTTATTGGCAACGCAGGTACGACGGTAAGACCTCAACTACCCTTTAGCGCATATCGCAAATAATTCATTTCTTATTTTAACAATATGAAAGATTAGGATGTAACTTGTATGAAAATATTTTTTCTTTCATGAAGCTTATGCTCGCTATTTTATAGAACTTCAAAGTTGCATTTTGGATGGTAATACTCTGGAATAGAATACTGTTTTATAACCAGTTTTTTTTTTACTTTTTGCAGAAAATGATGGTCTAAATTCTAAGAATATAACATGCACTGTATTTTATTGTGACAATATTGATCTCAATAATGCAAATTTGCAATATTTTAATGATGGAAATAGGTTATTGCTAAGCAGTAATTTTCTTTATTTCAGATAAACATTCCCATCACTACAGCACCATCACTATCATAATTTCTCCATCAAGTTGCAACGTTGTCAAATCATGGATATTTGGTATCGGCTAATATAGTAAAACAAATGTCGCGCGCGAATTAGAATTTGGTTTGGTTAGTCAAATTCTCACTTCCTAGGGCAACAATGTGCAATCGGCACGGGATTGCCATAAAAATTCGATTTGGATGGGTCGCTGGCAGGTTTCACTGTAGTAAATCTACCTCCTGCGTTAGCTAAATGTACTTTTTTAAAAATGCCGTATGCCGTTTACAAAATACTTCTGTTATTTTTCTATATTACAGTATAATTCATTTATTTTTTGAATGTCTGTAATTGAAGAATTACTTAGAGTGAAGATGATGTTACAAAATATACCTAATATATATAAAGAATTTACTGAACAAGTAGCCGTTCCTAGTTACTAAATAATGAAAACATACCAAAGAGATAAATAAACATTGTACTCGTAGTCAGAAAAAGATATTTCAGTAAAAGAAATGTGTGATATTGAATAAGTTTTTTGATGAAATAGCCGTTGATCATTGTTAAACTATAATGTTGTGAACCTGGCGACGTGGTCCTGGTGGACGTGATGGGATATGCCCGCCCTGGATCTTTATCAATTTGAATTAATTTCGCTCATTTCGCACTCTGCAGCAGCTGCTAGTATAAAAAATGCCTTTTTGGTTTGATCATTGAATTTTGCCTTCAGATATACTGAACATTTTGGTTTAGTTACAAACAGAAAGCCCCAGGCTTGGACCTGGAAGTGCTTGTATCTATCCAGACATGTCCAGAAGATCATAGAGGAAGCACAACCTCAATACAGCGACGAAGAAAACATGAACGACATTCTAGACCTGTGCGCACCGTACACGCAGAGGTTGTTGGTCACTCAGCTGCAGAGGTGGCAACCTCCACTTACCATGGAGAAAGAGGATATCCCAGAAGTGTATCCCATTGATCATATCAACCTAATATTTATACTTAGGTAAGTGAAGTTATGGGCCTAAGTCTTGCAATACGTTGAAGTCCTAAGGTTCAAGATGCTAAGGCTGAACGATGCACAGTGTTTCGCAGCGATCATATCTACATAGTATTTGTGCTCATATAATATAAAAGGGGTTATGGGCACAGGCTTTGCAACACTGAGGACCTAAGATTCCAGATGCTAAGATTGTACTTGGCACAGTAGTCAATTTATGCGAAAACCTGACTACATTATATTCACCAAGGCAGGCTGCCAATCTTGAAGTTGGTGGTGTATCAATTGACACTTCTTTTTTCATTTCTGATGTACATCATATACAACTTTGGTGTCCTGAACGACCACCAATAGAAACATCAGCTACTTCAGAAAACATGCACCTACAAGTCTTATCAACCATAATCTGCCTGGAGCATAGCTAAAGGTCAAAAGACTTTGTTTCGATACAAAATGTATCGATCTGTTTACGTCCGGCCTTATAGTAGCAACTGAGAACTCTTTTAAGCATAACATTTTATTGTTTTATATATAGAAGATTACCCCAAATATCAGAATTAAGAATTTCTTATGGAGTGAACGAGGTGGGTGAAGACTTCCAATGGGACATGTTCAAATTATCTGTCACAGACTGCGTCAGATTAGGTAAAGGTGTTTTGGAGCTGAAGCAAATCAAGATTCTCAAAGTCCACAGAAGTAATATTGAATACAAACACTGCCAGGCCTTAATGCAAGTAAGTTTAAAACCTGCCATTTACTAAATCCTACAAAATCGTAAATTTTCTATTTTTTCCGGTTATATCACAATTTTCTGAATACGTATATAATTCTCAAAACTCTCAAGCTTCCAGGATTAGAAAATTTTCAAAATTTCCTAAATTTCCTAAATTTCCTAAATTTCCTATATTTCCTAAATTTCCTAAATTTCCTAAATTTCCTAAATTTTTAAATTTCCTAAATTTCCTAAATTTCCTAAATTTCCTAAATTTCCTAAATTTCCTAAATTTCCTAAATTTCCTAAATTTCCTAAATTTCCTAAATTTCCTAAATTTCCTAAATTTCCTAAATTTCCTAAATTTCCTAAATTTCCTAAATTTCCTAAATTTCCTAATTTCCTAAATTTCCTAAATTTCCTAAATTTCCTAAATTTCCTAAATTTCCTAAATTTCCTAAATTTCCTAAATTTCCTAAATTTCCTAAATTTCCTAAATTTCCTAAATTTCCTAAATTTCCTAAATTTCCTAAATTTCCTAAATTTCCTAGATTTCCTAAATTTCCTAAATTTCCTAAATTTCCTAAATTTCCTAAATATCCTAAATTTCCTAAAATTCCAAAATTTTCATTGCTACCAAAGTTTCAAAGGTTTACAGAATTTTCAGAATTTCTAAAATTCCCAGTTTCCAAAAATTCCGGAACTTTCAAAAAGTCCGATATTTTCTATCCTTTAACCTCGGATGCCTTACAGATTCTTTAATTCGGAAGATATATGTCTTATATTTAATCAAAATGTGTAATTTTGGATAAATATTGAGGTAAGCTTACGAATACTTCATGTGAAGCGGCTGACAATCATTTTACCAACAACTCTACAGTAAATATATCCATTACTGTACATTACGGGCTGCTCATATAATGTTAGGACATTGCATGCACTATGCTTGCTCTATAAATATGGTGAAAACGCCCCCACAACTTTTTTAGTGGCTTCTCACTTCTTAAACTAAGAACTTTCTGTCTGCGTTGTAGGGTTTGATACGTAATAGGACTCTTGTCGAGTTAGACCTCTCCAACTGCAAGATAGGTGACCAAGGGGCCTTATGCGTGGCCAAAGTAATCTCAACGCATCCTACTTTAAAAAACTTGAACCTGACCAACAACAGAATTGGTCAAATTGGAGCCGAGGGCATTTGCTATGCATTGACATTGGAGACATGTGCAAGATTAGATGAGGTCAATTTCAGGTTAAACCCGCTTGGACATGAAGGTGTTATGGGTGTCCTCAGAGCTGTGATACGATGTGACATTCCAAGGAAACTTATCCTAAGTGGGGTTAATTTTGAGGAAGAGACCTCATGGAAGGTATTGTATGAATCTCAATGTCGACCTGAGTTGACTGTTTTGCAGCGATAAGTTATTAATCTCAAGTTAACTTTCAAGTTGGGTAACTATTACTTGGAAGTTAACTATAAGCTGATCGAAAATTCGTTTTTCGAATTCTGGTTAACTAACGTGTAACTGTTGATATGGCAAAGCTGCATCCACGTCTGGACTATCGTGCTATGTGCGTTTCGTGACGCTCGGTCTCGGTCTGAAGCAAAATCGCGGTTTGGCTACAACTTTCTAATTCAGCAATACGTGGTCCTCACGTCACAGTTAACTACCATTTTTGGCAAACCTGACATTAAATAGAGCTTTCTGAGGTTTGACTTTCAGTTAGCAGTGAAACCGCGATTGGAAAACCCGGCCTTAGGTCGTTTACGACGGTATATCCAGTATAACCATCAGCAAATACTAACGTAGCACGAAGTTCAATTTGAAAGAGAAAAATCGACCTTAAGGAGTCTAGCTGGACAACGGTGAGAATTTTTCGTAAGCGTTTCTATTTTTCTGATAAATTAAGTTTGCTGGTGTAACACTCAACTTATGCTGTGCTTTTCATGCTAATCCTCCACGTTTGTCTGGGCGCTAAATAAAACCACATAGATATGTGGACGACATTTCGGCCAATACGGTAGCCTTTTTCAAGTACAAATGACAATAATAGATTTTGTTCGTTTGTTTTTTCTTTTTTGTCACCAGGTAAAACCTAATAAACCCAGGACTGCCTGAGGCAAGCATTCCCGCTCCCGAAATGGTAGCCAGCCTCCCAAAGCGGCAAGCTAGGGTGAAGTTCTGTTGTTTTTGGATGTACCAGACATGTCACCCTCGTCCATCATCCCGAACACGTCCTCCAAAAATGCTGTAGCAAGACAAAGTTTTCGAAACTCTAGAAATTATCAAACCTTCCAAAACATTTTGAATTTTCAAATCTTTCAGAATGTTCAATATCTTCATTAAATTCAGGTTTTCAATGATTCCAAAGTCCTCAATTTTTTCATAACATTCAAAAATTTCAGTTTCCAAAATTTTTAAAATTATCAAAAAAGGTTTACATAGTTTCAATATTTTTAAAGTTTGGGAGAAGTTTGGAAATTTTGAACATTCTAAGAATTTTGCAAATATTGAATATTTTGAATAGTCTTAAAATTCTTAAGGAGGATTTAGGAAATTTCAAGATAATGGATATTCTGAAAATTTTGAAAATGTCAAAAACAGTTCAAATTTTGATAATCGTCCAAATTTTGAAAACCTGTAATGACAGCCGTTACAGCTTACTGTGAAATGCAAGTGTTAAATCCTCCCTTGAACGTTTCTTGAGAAAGCGTGATTCCTTGTTTAAAATCCAATTGGATTATTCCTCAAACGGCACACAAGTGTCAGGGAACGTCTATAAATGTGTCCCTTTCCTTGATGGAGTGTTGTGTTGCAGCTGGCTCAGATGATCAAACACAACACCTACCTGGAAGGCCTGGACATTAGCAATAACTGGCTGGGAGAAGAAGGTGGCGAATTTCTATGCGAAGGCATGGAAATAAACAAATCCTTGAAATGGTTGGATCTAAGAGAAACCGACATTACCCCAGCTCAACACCAAACTATCAAGAAGCTCTTGAAACGAAATGTTACTGGTATTTTGCAAAAAGACGAAGAAATTCAGAGTCAGCAGCAGCCCGACACTGAGGAGAAGGTCATTACTGAGACAACATATAAGGCTGAGAATGCTGAAGAAAAAGAGGGAAAGGGAGAGAAAGAATAAAACGAACAAACTAGTGGCATTACTATGGTTTTATTTCTTCAAACGAACCAACACAAAGTAAAATGTAATTTTTTTTTTTTATTTTTCAACATCACCACAAAAATTTACAGCCTTGTCAAGTCATAGCATCAGCTTTTGTAGTCCGTCGTGAAAAAACGCTACCACCTAAACGTTCAACCAGTTAGTAACAGTTATCATTATCCAAGCGATTTCCACCAAGGAATTTCTTAACTTTCTTGGAAAAAGATGAAAGTGTGATGATGAAGTGTATGATTCAGTAATTCTCAACGCTCTTGCCGCAACATGAGGCCGAGAATTGTTGTGAAGAAGAACGACGCCGATAGAGAGCAGGGGTCCTGCCGGAGGTTTTGAATAACGCGCTTACGCTTCAAAATAACTCAAAAAGCTGCCGAATAATTTCAGTAGGGCAACCTTTTTGCGTTTCAAACCCGAATTACTAAGCGAACTTCACAGTTGGCGGACTTACAAACAAATAATTTTAACCACACAACCGACACCGACAGGGACGTGAAACGTAATGGCGGCCTAGTGAGACTGGCCAAGATTGTCTAAGGTTGAACGGACCTCACCTGACATGGGTGACAGGGCACGATACGTGGTCCTCGTGTCCTCAGAATGCTCCAGCTTTATCAATGGCAATATCACATAAAGAGCTTGAGTTTCTGTAACCATGACCAACCATATGGCCAAATGGATAGCAAGCAAGTGGATATGGTCTACTAAAAAACTCAGTATGTTGTGCGCAAAGAGGTGACAATACTGACAAGTACTACCAACAAATAGTTCGCCAAAGCTTGACACGCCTCTAGCCTACGTTGGATGACAGTTAACATTATATGAACTGATAGATTCCGCCCACTATCATTAAAAGGATGACTCATCAATCAGCCTGAAAACAAGGTATTTGTGCTAGGTTCTTTAGGGGACATTGAGGGATCCAGAAATGATACCATGATGCAAGTGCTATGTTGTATAATTGAAGGTAGTATCAGACACAGCTACTTTTGCTACGCATCAAACTAATATTGAACCTTCCTTTATAAAGTTAGGTGCTTCGTGTCGTCACTTTCCTCCTGAGATTGTAGTGTGAGCGCCTTTTTTTCAACTTCCAGATTCTGTGATATTAGGTGCCGAACACCAGTTTGTGGAGCAGTGCCACTCCTTATAGTACCTTACATTTAGTTGTTTTGGTTTTGGTGCTACCCCGTCCATTTTCGAATGAGATTTTAATCTTCAGCATGGGAAGGATTTGCGGAGAAACACCACATACTCCTCCAGCTCTTCTTGTAGCTGTTTTGCAGCTGGTATTGCCGAAAGCCACCCCTTCCCCTCAAAAAAGAACCCTGTTCACATCACGAGTAGTCCCAAAAGTCATGAAGGGAGTAGAGGAATTGCTCATTGTAAATTTAATTACTCATTTGTTCTCAAGAAGGGTGTTTTTTTTATACTTTACCACAACGTGCAGAGAACACATGGAAACCGCGTATCTTTTTTTTATATATACCATCTACCACGAAGGCCTATGGCCTAAACACCCATGGGGTACCGTGGAGCTATAGGGGGATACAGGGTAAAGGGGGACGCCACACGGACTCTGGAGAGGGAAGACGTGTGCATGCAACATTCACACATTCTGGCTCCGCCTACGACATCCGCCGGGTGGTACCTCCGCGTTCGACAGTCAGAGACCGTCTACCACCTACTGACAATCACAACATCCATACCCAAGAGAAAAAAATTTCTTGGAACGGGATTCGAACCCGCACAGCACACGGCGATTGATCAGGAGACCGAAGAGTCTACTACTGCGGCCACCGCTGCTGCCTGGACTATCGATGACGTTATCTTATAAAGTGATAACAAGGGACTGTCATACTGATAATCCATGTCTGATAACAGATTAGGTGCTGTTCCAGTTTTTTATGCACGCGATGGTACATCGGTAACCGATTATTTTTAAATTACTAACAACTTGCATAGCTGCTATTTTTATCTATTGTATTAAAAAAACACATTTTAAAAATAAAATCCGGTTGAGCCTTATTTTGCTTAAAATATCTTGTATATAATTTGAATATGTAATTCAAATTTAGCTCTACAATGTAAGAGGGAAGTCCAAAGATGGTAATCTATAATTTTAAAAGGTTCTATAGCAGTTCGTATAGGTTCTACAAAAAGTTCGGGATATATCCCTGGGATGGCGCTACTTTATATATTCTTTAACCGAGATTATCTTTTTTTTGTTTGTTTTGGCGACATCTTTGCTCCCAAAATTAGATTATAAACATTCCGCCGCTTGAACTGCTGGATCCATCGCTTTCAATCTAAACAATCGTCACTACGCCAAAAATCAACTGCGCCAAACTGTGACTGAAAACGAATGCTGGAGAAATAGCGTTTTGGTGTGAACACCCGTGCAGCTTTTGTTCTCGACCTGCAACTTTTGGGGGAACTGCAGCATGAAAACTGCGCCTGCATGTGAACATAATACCAAACTTTTGCAGCTGCTGCTAAAAAACTTAGCTGTGTCTAATACTACATGATGTTATATCTGCGTGTGCAATACACGTGAAGTATCAGTCAAGATAACCATAGCTCCCTGTCGGTATCCGATACCGATAACTAGCTCAATATGGCACGTGTACTGCTGACGCTACAATAATCCATACATGTTAAAATGAATAAGAGAATAATAACTATTGTCTTGGAAATCGTTTGCACATCATATGCTCAAGGTTATCAGCGATGGGGTGCTATGCAACATTGCACAAATAGACACAGCTTGAGCTATACCAAATTATTACAGAATAAAGCTCGTTAATCTGTATCTCATCAACTAGTAGCATATTTGGATCAATATAATAACAATATTTATTTATCCAAACTAGAAATAAAACAATGTGAGTAAATTAATGCAAAAACAATGAATGCACTGCCTGTACATGTAATTTTATGTTGCCAGTGAATAATAGAAACCATAGATAAATGTAAAAGAAATAATAATTCAATTATAGATTCAAGTTTTAGAATTAATTTCCATGTTTTTACTAATTTACGATTGTCCATTCTTATAATAATTTCAGAAACATAAATATTTTAAACTCTTTGGTAAAATTTTGTAAAATGTTTGCTCTAAAAGAGAGGTACGAGCCCATCAAAGGTACATGTAGTTTTAAAACACGGTTCCATGCACTTTGTACCTTATAAAATGATTTTGACTCATGTTTTTATTGATGTTGATAAATAATATGAATGATACTCGGTAATAATGTGTAAAAAATATAATGCCTTATGTCATATACGGTTTATTAAATACTGTCTTTGAAACAGTTTTTTTGAATGGTATCTAAATTATAATTAATTTCACAAGTTTAGTCTACGTGAAGTGTATAAAATTCTTCTGCCACTTTCCCAGCTCCTTCAGCTGATACATATATCCCCTTCTACGTTGTATTTTCCTCAATCTTCAGTTGTATTGATGGATGATTGTTTTTAAAGATTTATAAATCAGTTTGCGAAGAAGGCAAACAATACGTGAAAAATTCAGCCTCCAGTGCCTTATATTTCCGAACCGCAACGATTCGGGGTTTCAGGCGACGTTTATTATTTTATCGAATACTTCATTTTTTATCGAATCGATCTCGGCAGGATACAGCTAAGGGTAAATATGAAGAAATGTCATTTTTCAGAACGAATTCTTATGTGTGATTCTGTTGCTTGTATTGTTCATACTTTTAATAAATTTACTGCACTCAGTTACGATCTGTGACGATCAGGAAAAAGATGAATTTTATCTCTATTAGGTAACGATGCATTTACTGACCTTATTAATAAGTCCGTCAGCTTGTCATTTTTATCATATGTTTATGGCTTAACCTGTCAAGTTCCGCGAAGTTAAAAACCACGAATATGGAAAGTTTTTCGTTCTATAAAACTATGGGGCTATTTAGCAAAAGCTACAACCAGATTTGGCCATGAAGCAAGATGCATTTCTTCAAATTGGTCAAGTGTCTCTTATGGATAGAAGTACATCGAAATCATGTTAAGGGTGATCACGAAGAAATATCTGATGTGTCTGGTTGACCATATTTAATTTCCACCGACTTCATTGTTTTATAAATATACTTCAAAACAAATCCATATTTGGGGTGATTCACAAGTCGTGACCAAAAATTAAACATAATGAACAGGAGCATATTTTAACGGGGGTCTTCTATGTAACATTTTTTCCTTAAAACATTTTTTTAATATCTTCAAAAGCGTCAACTGCAATGAACTGAAATTTGGTATTGTCCACATTTGAAAGTGTTTACTTAAAACTAACGTGCATCAGTGGCAGAGATACAGAAGATTAGTGGCATTATTGTTCCCAATGAACAATACTACGCCTCTGTTTTTTTTTCAAAACTCAAAATTTTTCGATTTTCACCTTCAAAATGCTACAAATAATTACTCTTGTGTTTTTTCCTATAGTGCACTGTTTTCGTAAAAATAAAAACAAAACAAATTAGATCATTCATGAAGAGTCGAGATACAATAAATCAGTTTCAAAATAAAATAGGAGGTCTTGATACCTCAGGAGATAGTTTGTCAAAGTTATGTTTTATACGTTAGTCAAGTCAAAAGTTTATTTTCTTTTGAGTGTTGGGGAATGGAATTTTGAAATGATGAGTACGCCGATACTATTTTTGTGTACAGGTTCTGAAATGGGAAGGTTTGAATGCAAACTCATATACTAAGTGATATATAAATCCGAACACCCAGTTTAAATGGTTTTATTTTAAAAAAAATTTGTATAAGTACTTAATGAAGCATAATAAGTAAATGATAAAAATTTCAAAATTATTGCACTGCTTTAAAGCCCTTTGACCTTTAATAATGTGTGGATGCACCCTGATGTGCTACGCATTCTCCAACGCGCCTAGGCATGCTTCTGATCAGGTGGTCAATGTCCTTCTGTGGTATCTCATTCCAGGCAACCACCAACTCCTCTCGAAGTGCTTCTAGAGTCTGAACAGGACGTTGCAAATTGAGCAATCTCCTACCCATCATATCCCACACGTGCTCAATTGGGGATAAGTCGGGAGATCTTGGTGGCCATGGTAACAATCTGACATCATTATGT